GGTGACGAAGATCTAGTTCCTTTAAGGCCTATTCGACATAGAGGTCGTCCACCTGGTAGAAGGACTTCAAGGGTTCGACGACAAAAAGTTTTTTGACGATGTCTAATTTAGTTGGAACTTTGGCGACACGCTGCAAGTTCCAAAGGGGGAGAATGTAACCTCACACTTACGAAGCCATAGCCACTACCGTTGCCGTAGCTATAGCCTCTACCATGTCTGACAAGTGTCATCAATAAGTCAGTCAGTTTCCCCCGTTTCCCCGATCAAGTTTCAAGTTCATTATCAATTATCAGTAATAGTCCAAGAGCCGGCAATACTAACGGGTATGTGATCGTTGCAATGGATAATTTCTACATAAAACAATAGTTCGTAGTAACCTTTAAACCAAATGGATGGGTTGCCTCGATTCTCATGGCCGTAAAGTTGTTTTACAAAAAGATACTTCAAGAAGCATAAGCGCAACAAATGAGAAGAACCTTGCGGTGTAGGGGGTTCTCATCATATGCGGCAAACACTTTATTAACACAATTTTATGTGTCTTTTTTTGTCTAAAGACCTACAGCCGTATGCAAAATCCTCTTCACATAGTCCTCTTTTAAACTATAATTGTGACTTTGAAGGCTGTCACTTTCAAAAATTTGTATTTAGCAAGCAAAATAACGCGTGCGCTCGACTTTCAATGAGGGTTGCCATCATTTCCGGCCATCAAAATCGAGGCCACCTTATGTATTATTTGAGAAGACATATTAAAGAATATATCTACCAATTTTCAGCTATTGAAACGATAACATTGTTCCTTCGGAAAAAGAGGGGTAGTTTACGCCCAGCCATCAAAGGGTTGCCACCCATCCATTTAGTATGAGCTATTCTTTCATGTGAAAATTATCCATTGCAACGATCACATACTCGTTAATATTGCCGGCTCTCCTTCTATAATGATTGCTATTATTTTGCCGATTCTGTATTTTTTTCCAGTTAAATTATTAAATAAAAACATTAAAAAACATGTGTAGTGCATAGTGTTGGAGTTCCCTTCGATACCTGCTACAATTTATCTTTTATTTGGTTTCCATCTTTTATTAAGTTGCCATTATCATCCTTAAGTGGGGAAACTTTTCGGTGCTAACACTGTAGACTTTCTTGACAGATTCAAAGAAGTTTTTGTGGTCGTGATGATCAGCATATCCTTGGATTTGTTTTGCCTTGCCAGTCCACCACTTGTTTTTAATTTGCCTAATCTCTTTTTGAGTTGACTATTTCACATCTTCATATTTTCTTTATATGTTAATATTTTTGGGATTGTTTTGAGCTGAAACGCATTGTGTTTTGTGTCCAAGATGCTCTTTATTTGTTGCAAACTTTCTAATAACCAATCTTCTTGTTTTTTGTTCTCTGTAACTCCTACAACTGATGCACTTGATTCATAAAGCGAATCTTTTAGACCTGCCCAGAATGTTTCCATCCTCAAAGTCGTTAATAGGTAGATTACTCAATCTTGACTATATGTCTTGGCGTAGCCCTTCCCCTATTTTTGGAGATTTAAGTCGTCCAGTATGAATTCTCTTTCTGGCTTTTGCTTCTTTTTTCTTGCGGTATTGAGGTTTCAGGTTTGTCAGCATTTTTGAGATTACGAGACGATGATCGGTCCAGCACTCAATGTTTGTTACGGTTTTTGTGATTTTTACTTCTTTTAAGTGCTTTCTCTTGACTATAACGTAATCAATCATGTGCCAGTGTGCAGATCTTGGATGGCGCCAAGTACCCTTGTATTTGTTTCTCTGTCTGAACTGCGTGTTGGTTATTGTCAAATCATGTTCAATGCATTTAGTTAGTAGGAGCTCACCGCTGCTATTAATGTTACCTATTCCGTGCGTACTAATTACATTAGGCCAGATATCAGAATTTCTGCCTACTCTTACATTAAAATCACCCAACAAGATTATTCGGTGGCTTTTTGGAATGTGGCTGAGTACATGTTCAAGCTGTTCGTAAAAGGTTTTTTTAGTTTGTTGGTCAGAATCTGAAGTTAGTGCGTAAGCACTGATTATGTGAACAAAGCTTTGGTCTTGCAACTGAAACTTTAGCGTCATTAAACGTTCTGATAAACCATGGGGCAGTTCAGTCAGTCTAGGCATAAGGCTGGTTCTAATAGCAAAGCCAACGCCATGGATTTTTGTTGATCCTTTGGGATGACCCTTCCAGAAGAAAGTGTAATTACCGTCCACTAAACTTCCTTCCTTGAGAAAGCGAGGTTCGCTAAGTGCTACCAGATCTATGTTTAGGCGTTCCAACTCTAAAGCAATAATGGCCGTCCTTCTTTCTGGTCGGTTTGATGTGTCGGAATCTAAAAGTGTGCGAATGTTCCATGCAGCACAAGTGAATGTTTCTTGCGTCGGCCGTTTCTATTTCTGACGATGACTTGTTTGAGCAGACACCCCCTCCCGGAGATCCGAGTGAGCTGGTATTTTGACTCCGGACGCTAAACAATCCATCTTTTTCTTAGCTGCGTGTGTATATAGCCAGAACTAGTACGCCGCTATTCCAGCTTTGGTTGCAATGAAGAGCCTTGCCCATGTCACAGATGATCTGCGACGATCAGCTCTTCATTAGGTGGTAAATGCAACTTTGTTGCATCAATATTTAGAATCTCTATTGGCGCCCTTAAAATCCTGAGACGAGGCTTTGCTGCTACGCTATGTCCGCCGGTTTTCTGTGCCTATCGACCTGGCTCGCCTTCCATATCGCAACAGTCTTCGTGCACTTTGAGTAGACCCAGCAACTATCTTCTGAGTCCCCCTCTACCAGGTTTAGCTCGCCGATCAAAGCGGTTTACCGGTGTATGGCCGGTGCAATGAACAACACCTTCTTGGAGCCACTGGTGAGAGTTGTGGTTCTCTTGAGGACCAATGGGTCGATGCCCATCCGCAATCAGAAGTGATCGGCACCCCGCTAGAGGTACTACCCCTAAGAACAACCACCATATACACTAAGCATATAGCGACATCAGCCATCGGGATGGGACGCCCAACCATCAATATCATATGGTTGAAAGGATAATGGATTCCAAACAACCATTAATTGTGAATGTTCCCCTTATATCTTCTCACTCACTCCCATACCAACGGTAACTGCTGAAGAAGGCCATTGGTCTTCACAAGTAACAACTTAAAATTCATGAAAGACTTGACCGATAAAGTAGATGTTCGGGCCTCTAACTGAGGTGTCAACATTTAATTTAGGGATAGATCACTGGATCATAAAGGGGATGGGGATGTCACTGCTAAATAATGCACTCACACTTCCAGTTTTATATCTCTATTGTTGCCAAAATAATCGTTTAATAAAGTAATAATACTGTAACCACATTCAAGTAATTTTAATTATTCACAGGTTAGTTAACAAGTCGCATTTGAGTTATTCGAGAACATTCACTAATAGGTATAAATTCACTAGTTGCTAAGTGCTCAATAGTCAATTTAACAATAATTGTCAGTAATAGCGGAACGCTAATATTTTAATTGAGAGCACAAGATAAAGTTTATTCTTAATAGAAATCTTCGGGAGTTGAGAGTTTTTATATTTTTAGAGAGCCCTTAAAAAAGGGGAATGCGATTAACTTAATGTTTTCCGCGATATTATATCACTTGAGTTTTCAAGCCAGCAGCCAGAGAGATAAAAAAATAAGTCTTTTTATTTAGAGAGCGAGAGAGAGACTGCACAAGGGTGCAACTAGAGAGAATAATTAAATAATTAGAGAAAAGTGAGCAGGTTCAAGCTTGTATAGAGCTAGACGTTTTTACGCACTATTTACTGCTAGTGAAACCACACTGCTAAAATCACAGTGCTAAAATCACACTGCGAAGTGAAAAAGATAAGGAATGCATTTTTTCCCTTAGCGACAACAACCAGACTGGATCAATGCAGTACAGCCTGGTACGGCGCCAGCGGCAAAGTTTTCACGGCGAGGGCTTTTTTGCAACGTTGCCACTGTGATCATAAAAAATAAATACGATTGTTTGGCTGTTTCCACAACAGTAGAAATGAAACAGGTCTTGGTAGCTCAGTTGGTAGAGCGTTGCACTGGATATGCGAGGGTCCTGGGTGCAAATCCTAGTCGAAGCAAGAAAATTTTTCATCAATATTAATTGAAACGTCTGCATGCCACTAAAATTGAACACAATGTAAATTATATAACAGACGATAAAACTTCCAAAAACTGTAATATTTGGCTTGATATTGATGGTTGGGCGTCCCATCCCGATGCCTGCTGATGTCGCTATATGTCGACGACACATTCGTGGTTGAAGGGATGATGGATTCTAAACAACCATTAATTGTGAATGTTCCCCTTATACCTTCTAACTCACTCCCTTTCCAACGGTAACCGCCAAAGGTTGCCGTTGGTCTTTACAACTAAGAACTTAAACTTGATAAAAGACTTGACCGACAATGTAGAAATAAAACAGGTCTCGGTGGCTCTGTTGGTAGAGCGTTGCACTGGATATGCGAGGGCCCTGGGTTCAAACCCTAGTCGAGGCGAGAAAAATTTTTCATCAATTTCAATTGAAACGTCTGCAAAATTGAACACAATGTAAAATATATAAAAGACAATTCAATTCAATCCTTTTATTAGTAAACATAGTTATAGGTATTTTCCATAGTAAAGTTAAGGTTAAGCTCAAAATATGAGCTTGAAAATGCTTGTAAAGCCATTCCCATTGCTATTGTAGATTGAATCTGATTTTTTTTTTCTCTTTGAGGCTCTTTCAATATGATTTTTGAGTTGCCTGTAAGTCATAATTATGATGGCTTTTCAATATGCTTCGCCTATCGTTGAATGATTGATTAAACCGAGCGCTTTTTTAACGAAAACAAAATGCACTTGACGTTTTTTTTGAAAGGCCCTTTTACCCGTCAAGCGCACTTTTCAACTTTTCACGAAAGAACCAAACCCGACGAGAATATTTTATTTATACTTAAATTTCCGTTATTTGTTTCAGATTAGTCGTGAATAAAAGAAGAGTGAAAAATCCATAGATATCGCTGCTAAACGTTGCAAATTGTATTTTAGAAACTATGTGCAGTGCCAATTCGATGCTATTATTGTGTTGTATGTATATATTGAATATAAATATTATTTATAAAATCATGTTTTCTTTGCCATTCAATTTCCAGCGGAAAGTTTGCTCTCAAGAAATTTTTTTATTTGCCTAGTATGAGGACACAATAATGGAACGAGGAAAAATCTTTCCATGTACCTAAATTATTAACAAACCAGAAAACTTTCTTTGAATAGATGGAGTAGTTTTATTAAGTTTACTCTATCTATAGTAAGAACCGCGTAATTGCAATTTTTTCCATGTCGTTGCAGTTTGCAATTTAAACCAACAGAGACAGAGTTCTAATAGGAAAACTTTGCTTATTCCAAGAAAATCTTTTATTAACTTAATCAACTAAATAATAACTTTATTGTTATAATTATTCAAAGACAGTACATTCAAAATCGATGTTATTCCTTTGGACTTTTTCAATTTTTTGAGGCATCAAACAGCAACCAAAAAGATCCAACTTCTCAGCGTCTTCTAGCGTTTGAGGTAAATGTTCGTTTAGGGTTTCTGGCAGTAAAAGCGAACAAACTCCACCGGCAACCAGCATTGTTCCCATAATAATCAATGGTAGAGTGATCATATCGGAGCCCTAATGGGAAATTTATTATTACTATTGCAATAAAATATGGAAATTCTTACCAAGTAATTCACCAAAGGAATAAATATGGGTCCGAGCATGCCTACGACAGAGCTTAGAGACATTCCAAGACCTCTAACTACTGTGGGATACAGTTCGGATGCCATTAAGGGTAAGACGACAAAGGAGGATGATATGCCCATCTTTCCTATGCAATATAGGCCTAATGTTGTTGCGTAGTCTGGTAAAAAAAATAATGATATTCGAATGAAAAACATTATCAATGAATAAAAAATATTGACAAATAATTAAAGTTATGGACAGAAAAATTAATCCCTCAAAGCATTATTAAAGGACAATTCGAGCGTAACAAAGTATATCGCATTTTTCAATGGCGTCTTTTATGAAACAAGAAAAAAAATAGGTACTCGTAAATCGTCCCGGCTTGCGGACTTAATACTGCGTCATTAAAATGATTAAAATCAAATTTATCACCGGCTAATTGAAAAGGTAACCGAATCCTTTTCCCTTTTCCCTTCGAGAATTGTAATAAATCTGGATCTGATTCTGGAATACGACCTTCTCCTTTTTCTTAAAGAAACCATGTTTGCGGGAATCGTACAAAAACAAATATCCAAATGGAAAATGCTTCGATCCATCTATATATTTCTCCTTACTGTCGGTAATTCTAGATTTTGCTCTGAAAGCTTTTGATATCGACATCGTTTCCTAGCTATGCAAACAAATCTAGATTTTTTGACAACTGTCCTGTAATAACTATGATTCGAATGTATAATGACTTATAATACCGCGCACTAGTTTTCATTGTGGAAAATGAACATTATTAACTAGTGACGATTATATATAGCGGGAGATAGGCCAAGGCAGGTAGTGAAACTCCAATTCAATTTCCCAACGTTTCGTTGTTTATTACAACTTTATTAAGGGTCTGTAAATGGAGAAAAAACACAAAGATAAAAACATTAAATAAGTTAAATGAAATTACACAACAAAAAAATAAATAGAAATAAAATAAAAATACAATAAAAAATCATTGAATCAAGAGCAACATCAATTATATTAAGATAGTCGAACAAAATTAACATAAAATTACAGTACAGAGAATACATGAGAACCGAAGCAATAGGTGTCTATGCGTTGTTAATTTATTCAAGTAAAATGGTATGCGATTTTAACCCATAGAAATTATATGAATTATTATCAAGAACCACGATTTTAATTAATATAATTCTTTTTTTTCACTTACCAATCTTGAAGAGTTAAAGGGATGTTAAAGAAGCCATTATAGAACATAAAATGCATTAGTGAATTGTAATATGGAACACCTATGATAATAACATCACATACAAAGTCAATATACAAAATATAGGATGTCACCTTTATAAATCAATAACCTGCACTGAAGGTCAGAACATTAATGAAGAACTTGAGATTGAAGGACTGAAGGTCGAGGTGCACGCAGATTATGCCCTAACTCAGAATTAAACAATTCGGAGAGTAGGGGTGGGTTTTAATTTTGAGCGCCACCGACTCTGGACAGAGGAGTCGGACTCTCTAGGATGTTATCTGGCTCCAGGTCCTTACAATTCTTATAATAATAAAGAAAAAGAAAAATCAATTACAAGTAAATTAGCAATATTACCAAACAGTGGAAGACTATATTTACTATTTAAAAAAAGTACAATCACTGAACTGTCATTAATTTAATTAATAAAATGACCTTGTAACGGAGTGTCAACTAACAAATACAGAAATGCTATACTATTGAAATAATTGCTATAGTCATGAAACTCAATAACGAAATGAATAATAAAAAAAAAATTTGAAAGTTGAAAATATAAAGTGTAGAGAAATAAGATTAAATTAAAAATAAAATTAAATAAACAATTAGTTGTACACTGTTGTAATGAGAACTACAAGTGAGTTGGCATAAATAAGCAACCACCTGAACCAGGTTATGTCTAGCTAAATTAACCTTAATAATAACTGCCGTTTTGTTTCACTTGTCACCTTGGTACAAGTACTGAATTACACCCTTGTTGTGTTTGTGTCTTCAAGATGAAGAGATAATAATAATTATAGGTTTAGTTAAACAGGACTTGCTTTATTAACTTAACTAAAACTTAAAATGTGTTAAAACGTTTCTATAACTATGAGAATATGTCTGACTACTGTCACCATTATTAAACTCCTGACAGACAGGTAACATTTTATAGTCAAGGCAATGTTCTGCTAATACTAGTTGGTACAGTACCATGGAGTTATGCAACATGTTCCTTTTTTTATAAGAGAAGAAATAATTTTATAAATGATTTAATGACAAATTTTAACTATCGTCAGTATCAAACCTACGCGGTTTTTTCACTAGCCTGCATAGGCGTATCCAGGGTGGGGGGGCTGCCGGGCTGCAGCCCCCCCCCCCCAAGGCAAGCCTAGACTTTTTTTTTTTCAGTGTATTTTATGTGACACAAAAATAGAAATAAAATTTCTTTCTTTCTATAATAAGGTTTTTCTATGACGCCTAATGCAGCAAGGGAATCAGTGCTTCATCTTAATCATCTTGAATGTCCGAAATACTTCCTTCCTCATAATAATAAAGAAGTGGCCCGATGCGAACATTTTTGTCGCCCCGTAAAAAAGAATAGGCAGGCGCCTAACATTTGGGTATGTTACAGATGAATTCTGACAAAAATAGGCAACTTCCAAATTTTTCAATTAATCTGTTCGTCATTTTGATAACATCAGTATACTGATTTGGAAATCGAATTTTTAAACCGCTGTGAAAACGCGGGATAGGAAAGGGACGTCACTTTCTCAAACATGGCGAGGATGTCAAATTTGTCATTAGTAAACCATTCCCAAACATGGCTGACATAAAACTAGTGACAACCTATAACCTATTTTTGTCCTTTACTACGTCATAAAAAAAGAAAGGAAAGCTATAATCGGTGAATTTTTGCTACCTAGTGAAATGGTCCTAAAATATTCCGGCATTTCTACATTTCTAATGTGACAACAAGCGCATGAATATATCGGCTTTAGCCAATAAGAGGCAAATGAAAATGGACTATAGGGCAGTCCAACAAATCGATTTTAATATGGCCGCTGCAGGAGAAACAAGTGGGTTGCTCATATACTTCTTGCTATTTAGTTCTATTTGAAAAGCGTTTTAAACTTTTTCCTGGTAATTTTTTGTTATAGCAGACGTATAAATTTATAGAATAAGCGATCATTATATTCAATTACAATCCAAGAACTCTGAGGGTTGCCGAGCAACTAGCAGTACTGCTAAAATTTACCACACAGCAAAATGCGGGCATTTTAATACATAAAATTAACCAATTATATTGGAATACTTCAAATTTCCATAAGGATGCATGGTAAACTTACGTTTGTTTAATCTGCAGCAGCCATGTTTATTTCGTTTTTGACAGTTTTTTTTTTTTGGTCAACACTTTTTGTGAACAGAGCCCCCCCTAAACCAAAATCCTGGATACGCCAATGCTAGCCTGCCACTACGAGTAAACACTCTAGTCGTCTGTGCTTTTTGAGATGGCGTGTCAGCAATAGAGCAATTTAAATTCGGCGAGTGTGATAAAGTACTTTTACTGGATCTAGGCTGATCTTCAATTGTCGTAGAAGAAGCGGATGTATTGGGTTCAAATTTTTTTATTAATAAATGATGCCTATTTCTTCGGTAATCTACACCATCCGGGGTGCGAACTACAAAAGACCTTGGCATTGGACCTTTTTCAGTGACCAAAGCAGGTTCCCAAGATGAGTTGGCAGTCTTTTTATACATGTCATTGTCTCCTACATTTATATCTGACAAATTTCTGGCATGTTGATCATGATAATTTTTCATCCTATTCACCTTCTCTCTAACAAAATTATTGTAATGAACATAATCAATAACTTTTGGCTTAAGAACGCTTTCTGTTACTGGTAACTTCATTCTCAAATAACGCGACATCAAAAGCTGAGCAGGAGAATATCCACTAGCTTGAGCCGTGTTTCTGTACTGGAGTAGAGCAATATATGGATCAGTATTTGACTCACGACATTTGTTGAACAAACTCTTCACAGTAGCAACAGTTCTTTCCACTAAACCATTACTTTTGGGATAATTAGGACTAGACGTATGGTGAATTATATCCCATGACTGGACAAAGTTCTTGAATTCGTGCGAGTTAAATGGAGGACCATTATCAGATACTATTATGGATGGGATGCCATGACGAGCAAATATTGACTTCAGACATGTAATTACTTGACTGGCATTGATAGAACTAACCGATGTTACTTCAAAATAGTTAGAAAAATAATCAACAACTAAGAGATACGTGACTTTATTATAAAAGAAGAAATCTATTCCGACCTTTTGCCATGGCAAAGTTGCAGGCTGATGTGGTAGCAGAGGCTCTGATGGATTGGAATT